TGGACGAGGAGGACGTCGCGAGGACCGCTGCTGCCGTTGCGGCCGCTGGGCCCTCCCCGCTGGCTCCGCCAGCTGGCCCTGCCGCCCAGCGACCCATTCAATGGCTGCCCGCGTCTGCGGTGGCGGACCTGGTGAAGACAGTGGTCTTGGAGCAGTTCGAAGCGGCGCGGGCCGCTCATGCGCTCGGCCGCGCAACGGTTGGCCTCACCCCGCGGTCCTCACTCTCAGACTGGCCGAGCCTGCAGGCGGTGCTCCACGGCCTCGCATTCAAGCCAGAGTCGTTCAACATGTGGCTGCGGTTGGGGTCGACCCCAATGGAGGGCCCCACACCCACTGCGGCTGTAATCGGGCAGCGCCTTTAGGTGGCTCGTCTTGGGCGACCAGACTTGGCGCCCCGCGGACACCACAGCAGCGCAGCAGACGTCGCGCGCCCTCGACGTGGCTCGAGCGGCCTGCCGGCGAGAACCCCCAGGCTTCGTCCGGCAGCGAGCGCCGCGGGGTCGCGAGCAGGCCCCACGCCGGGCAAAGTTGGGACCTGGAGCCCGCCAGCTGCTCCTGCGAGAGCCGCCGGGGCCTGGGGAGGCCATCCCCACGCGGCTCTCCGACCTCGAGGGGGGATCCGCCGCGCCCCCAACCCCGCAGCCTGGCAGCGCGCCCTCGGGCTTTCTCCCGCCTCGGGAGGCCCGCGCCCCCACGCAGCAGTTGCTCGCACAGGGCCCCGAGGCGCTCACGGGGGCCGGGATTCCGAGAGCCACGATCTGGCGCCCCCAGGAGTCTGCCTCGACGGGCCGGTTCCTCGCCGCCTACACTCAGCACGCCGCCGCGGCGCCGCGCCCTCTGACCCTCCGCTCGATCGTCGCGCTGGACGCGCTGGCAGGGTGCTCAGACGCCACCGCGCTGGCAGACCTACGGCCGCACCCATTGTTCAGAAACCGGGCCACAATAGTGCAGTCGGTCTAATTTTCCGATCGGCCATTGGAGGTCACCCTGGGCGGCGCGAGGACGCCGATGCAGGGGCTGCGGGCGCTGGCGCCGGTCACGCTGGCCCCCTCGACGTCTTCCCCGATCCCAGCCTCGATTCCCACGGACGGCTTACTCTTCAACCTGGAGCGCGACCGCGGCGCGCAGGTGGACTCCCCGTTCAGCGATTTGGTGGTCGTTCAGCGCCTGCTGCGACAACAGCTCGGGCATCTGCCCTTCCGCTGGGCGGACCCTGGCCGCAGCCAAGGCTGCAGGCCGGAGTCGCAACGCGTTCTTCTACGAGGCTATCTCCCGGCGGGGGCCACTACTTCGCTGGCCACGCGGGCCATGTTGCAACACCTCCGAGCAGGAGGCCCGTCGCCGAATGCGCCGGCGGCGCTCGACGACATGCATGGCCACGGGGCGGCCCCACTACTGGAGGTATCCTCCCCGCTGGCCGCTCCGCCCCTGAGCTCGCCATGCGAGGACATGGCTTTCGCGGGGCCCACGCGACTCACCGCGCACGCTGGCGTCGCAGGGGGCGCGGGGGAAGCAGCTGGAGGAGGTCTTCGCGGAAGACACGTCGCGCTGTGGACGCCGACTCCGTTGGCGATCGTCTAGACTGGGCGGTCGCGCGATCGCACGGCCAGAAGCTACGCGGCGGCAGCTCGACGCACGCGCCCGCGAGGCCGTTCGGGGCGCCTCCCAGATCGGGGTTCGGGCGCCCATGCGCGTGCAAGTCCAACCCGGCGGGCCTGCGGGCGTCGACGGATCCGCGGTCGTTCGAGGCATTCTGGCCCACCTCGAGGCGCAGGGCCTCACGTTCGCGGCGGCGGCCGCCGGCCCCCAGACGCAGCCGGGTCAGTGGATGGCGCCCCGCGACCTTCAGGACAACGTGAGCGGCCGGTTGCGCCTGACATTGGCCGACGAGGTCCAGGCGCAGCAGGTCCTGAACTCGGCGCACGAGAAGGCGTTCGCAGCCGGGGGCGACGCGATCACCATCACAGCGGTGGAGGACAGATCTCAACGGGAGGCGGCAAAAAACGGCCGCCGGCGGGGGGCACCGCGGCGGGGCCCCCCTGGCCCGCAAGCTTGAGCCAGACACTGGGTGGCGGTTCTTCCTGCGAGGGAGCCCCGCTGTTCGATTCAGCCTCAGCTTCGACTGGGGCTCTGCGCGCAGTTGTGAATTCATGTGCTTTTGACCTCTCTCTGGACACATCTTTGTCTACATATTCTACTCTTCCAACAACCCCTTCTTCTCGTTCGGCGACTCCTACTTCTCCTCCTTCGACGTCTCCTACTTCATGCGTCCACGTGCTGCTGGACCTCAGTCTGCGACGAGTGGATGGGACGGTGCCGCGGCCGCTGGACAGCCAGCCACCTGGGCGCACTGCTGGCACCCTCAGCGGAGGCGCCGCTGCCGCCTGCGCGAGCGCCCCCGGTGCTCCGCGGCAGGAAGCGCCCTAGGCCCCCGGAGGCTTCGCCAGGCGAGCGCAGGGATGCGATGCCAGGCGCTCCGCGTGATGGGCCCCCCTCGCATGATGGTCGTGCTCTGGCTGGGCCCTTCGTGGGGGATTACTTGGGGGTGGCTTGGAATGCGCGGGGTTTCTTTACTTCGCGAGCACGCTCTCACGGCGCGAAGCGCCTCCTGTTGAAGAGGCTGCCAGTGCACGCAGACTTCGTCATGCTTTCTGAGACGCATGGGACGGCAGGGAGTCAGGCGGTCTTCACGGACCTCCCGGGCACGCGTGCGTTCTGGTCGGCTGGGACGGCCTCGCGTGGAGGCATTGGCATCGTGATCAAGCTGGAGTTCCTGCGTCGCTTCAAGACGGCGGAGCCAGTTTGGGAGGAGCTCGACCACGGCCGCCTTGGACGCCTTTCGCTTCGCGGCCTCGACGGGGCCCTCGATCTACACGCTGCGCATTTCCCTACGGGGCGACGCCACCGAGTGCGCGACGCTGCCCCGAGCGCGGCGCAGCAGACGGCGGAGTGGCTTTCAGTGCGCCGCCAACGGGAGGAACTCGCTGGGCTGATTCGGAGGCGTTTGCGACAACAGGCAGTGCTGTCGCTCCTCGCCGGCAGCTTCAACTTCGCCCCAGCGCAAGAGGACCGTCTCAACAAGGATACGGGGATCTTCACTGGGGATTCGGACGCGGCGGAGGCCCGGCACTAGAAGAGGCTTTTCTCAGACGAGTCCCAGTTCCACGAGATCTGGCAGCCGGATGCCGCGCATGACGGCCCGAAGTCCAGGGCACGCCTCGACCGCGTCTACACGAATCAGCACCTGTGCGAGCAGCTGGGCCGCTGGTCTTTCGCAACTGCCCTCGAGTGGTACCCGTGCTTGTCTCAGCATCGGCCGCTAGCTTTTGGCGGGCTGACGCGGCCGCCGCGCCCCCCCTCGGATGCTCCTGTCCCTGAGGAGGTAATCCGCGCGGAGACCTGGCCGCTGCGCGTCTCGGCTGACTTTCATAGTCGGCTCCGGGAGGCCGGCTCCGAATGTGGGCCCCTTGACAGGCTGGCCATGTTGAAGCGTGCCATCCGCTATGTCTCGGACCGCAAGCGCGCGGAGATGGCGCCCCTGCAACGCTCTGCGGCGACGCCGGCGGACGACGAGCTAGGCGCGGTGATGGGCGCCCTCCGGCGCCTAGAGCGCCGGCGCTGGCTGGTTCCCCACTTCGCGGCGCGCAGTCCGGCGATGGGGAACTCGCTGGAGCAGCGCGTGGTGGACCAGGAGCCTGGGGCCGCAGCGGCGATCCTCTGGCGCCTCGCAGTGGATCTGGCCAGACACGCTGCCCGCTCAGACCTCGAGGAGCTCCGCGCGGCCCTGCCCGAGCTGGACCTTGAGCTCGCTCGGCGCAGGCGTTCCTCCATCCTGCAGCGGATCCGAAAACTGGCCCCCGGGCGTGCGCGACGGGAATGGCATTGGAAGATGCTGGCGGCTCGGCGCAGGTCGCCCCAGAGGAGGTCGCCCCGAGTTCTCCGTCGGCATTGGGGCGAGGTCTTCGCAGCGCGCCGCTCGCATGTGGCAGACGTCGAGCAGTGGGTCCGCGGGGACAGGGAGGCGCCTGACGGCCTGGCCGCAGCGTTGCGGCCTTCCCTGGAGAACCTCGACCAGTGGCGGATCAGCAAGCACGACGTGGAGCGAGCGATTTCTCGCATTTCTCGCTCGGCACCGGGCCCCGACGGCATCCCGTACGCGGCCTGGCGCCGGCTTGGGCCTCATGCTTGCGACGCGCTGTTCGACGCGGCGGAGCTCCGTGAGACAGACGCCGGGCACGCGGCGCTGGAGACGACCTTCCCCCTCGACGGCGACGGGCGCTCAGAGTTCAACGCAGCGACCATGGTGTTCCTGCCGAAAAAGCAGCCGCTGGCGTCTGCATCGGGGGTGCAATACACGAGAGCGGAGGATGTCAGGCCCCTGAGTCTCGTGAACACCAACAACCGCCTTGTGGCCAAATCCATGCGGCTTAGAATTGAGCCAATCCTGGAGCGCGCAATCTCGACCACGCAATAAGGATGTTTGGCTGGTCGCTCGACGCTTAAGAACGTCACCGACGTCGACGCTGCGATGCAGGAGGCTGCTCTGCGAGACGACTGCCACAATCACCAGCACCAGCACCATGTCCACTCATACTGCTACCAGCACCGCTACCTTGACCACCACGTTGACCAGCACCAGTACTGTGTCCATTGGCACCGCTACCAGCACTACGTTGTCCAGCACCATAACGATACTGACCACTGCCACCATGACCAGCACCACGACCCTATTCACTGTCACAATGACCACCACCCCCACCGACACCACTATCACCACCACCACCACCCCTCTCGGCGCAACTACCACTATCACCGTCACGACACAGACAAGCACCACTACGCGGATATACATTGTTGCGGGATCTATGTGGTTCGAAAGCACGGGCATTCAAGAGCAGGTGGAAAGTGCGTCAGTGAATGCACTTGCTTCACAGAAGGGCGTGCCCGAAAGTGCTGTGTTCTGTGCTGCCTCGCTTTTCATAAACAGCTCGCGACGGCTCATGTCGGACCGGGAGCTCACCAGCTCAGTCACGCATTGGCAGGTCGATTGGACGATAGTTGCAAGTGAATCTCCCGCCTTTTCGGCATACGACGTAACGACAGAGCTGCATCAGCATGTAAACGCGACCTCAGGAGAGAACTTGGAGTCGATTGCGACGTTTTATAGCCTCATGGAGCTCGCCATGTCATCTCGGGGCCTGACACTCGTGTCAAATTCCAGTGTCCTCGTGCACGCAGAGCCCACGATAATGGAAATCACCGCCACCCAGACGACATCAACGACGGCAACGCCATTCGCAGTGGGCCTCATTGCCGACACGGAGAAACGGTGAGCATTGATTTTGTCATTATGGGCATCATAGTTGGTGCGATATTTGTTTTGTGCTGCTGCATTCAATTGTTATGTTTCTTAAGGATCCGCCGGCAACGGAAGTCTGAAGAGGACTTGGAGGCTGTGTCGCGAAATGACCTCGAGCAGGGGACGCCCGAGGACATAATATGGGTCGCGCCTGGAGGGGCCCCAAGGATCGAGTCGCAAAGCAACGAACCCAAGCAGGCGCGCAGCCTGTCACGCGGTGCATCGGCCGAAGCGTCCTCGGGAAGCGAGATCGGAGCATCGCAACGGAGCAGCCTTTCGTCGACAGGTATGTGAACGGGTAGGTCAGGCGGAAATTTGTCACGCAGTCCGTCGGCTGCCTCAGCCAGGTCTGGTGACGCCGGGTTGGCTCGCAGCTGGTCTCGCGGTCAGGCCTCAGGGCTTTCGATTTCGTCCCGGGAAGGTTCCAACGACTTGCGTCGCACACGCCAGCCTCCTTCCAGCAAGCGGCATGAAGACCGTGGTTTTGAGTCGGAAGACGAAGCTGACCAAGACGACAGTTCCTGCTCATCCGCCATCTGGGTAGCAAAGGAAGCCCTGCGGATAGCTTCACAATAGCAAAGGCTACATGAAACAACCGTTTCAGATACTCCACCAGATAAGACACAATTTTGCATCCACTATCGCGCAGACGCGGTGACGGACATGTGCTTCGTGGCGATAGCGAGACCCCCTATCGCAGCACGCAGCACTGCATTCTAATCCGTATCAGATACGCGAGGGGATCAGACATAGCAGCTGAATGCTACAGTCGTCTCCCGATGTATTAACCATTCGGCCGAATACCCTTCGCTTCTCATGTGTTGTAAATTCCATGATGGGTGCGACATTTGAGCAGTGCGGGTAGATCTATCGCTTTGTGGGTGCGGAACCGGCTTGCCTTCAGTAGCCCATTTCCCGGCTCGCAGCGGCAACGGGGATGGCGGAGGATCCCAGCAGGGATTGAAATGGGGCCCTTTTCGTTTCCGACCACTGCTCCAATGGCCAGATTGTCTCACATCTGCTCGAGCCGAGCCGGCAGCAGTAGGCGAGCGAGGTGATAGGGAGTGAGTCTGTGAGGGGGGTGCTGTCATAGGGGATGATGAGATGGGGCAGGGGAGATAATCCATATGAGTCCGCATTCTTACGACACGGATTGTTCATA